CATTAGGGTGAAAAAATCAAAAAATGTCAGGTGTTTATACCAAACCCTGAAGTATTTAATGCATTTTAGGTATGAGCTAAACTCCAAGCGCATGTTTTTATTTGTCATCATACCTTCATTGTCACCAACCCTACCACTATGTTAGATTCTCTTTCCTTTGGTAAAGGTTCTTTTTTATAAAAGAGAGAGAGAGACAGAGAGAGACAAGAGACAGACAGAGAGACAGACAGAGAGAGAGAGAGAGAGACAGAGACAGAGAGACAGAGAGAAGTAAACAAAAACAAAAACAACCATACTGAGTTGTAAAATGGTAGAGGTTCTTATCCTTTGTTTGAGTCATGAGTTTGAGTCATGAGTGTGTAAATAAAACAAGACATGGCTCATTTTAGGGTGTTCTGAAGATGAAACTGTGCCTAATTTTCTCATTTGATAGAAAGTGTAGCAGTCAGAACAGGGCATTTCTTCTCTTTGTTCTTTTGAGTTAAATCTTTCCTGTAATGTTCTTTAATAGGTGCCCAATAAAATGAAAATAAAAATATGACCTGGTCCTGCAGGCACTGACCCACTTTTCCTTCCTATCAGACCCATTAGGGGTCTCTAGTATCCCAGTGCTCCCTCTGTCCCTCAGTGGCATGGCCCTCCTTCCACTCCTTAGCTCTTTATAAATGCTCCTACTTTACCAATGGCATTATATCCTAGATTTTTTTACAGCACCACCTTCTGCTATGGAGTCTCAGTTTTCAGTTGTCAAAGAGATCATCCTTGTCATCTGCTAAACTTCCCAGTTCACTCCACTTAGTTGTCTTCTTCAGAGTATGACCTACTAACCGAAATCACCTGATTTATATATAGATTTGCTATCTACCTCTGTTCCAGAATGGAAACTCCCCAAGGAAGACAGAATGTATGTCTTACTCATTGCTGAATGTCCTCGGTCTAACCCATAGAAAGTGATCAACTAATATTTGTGAAAAGAACCAATGAAAGGCCAACAAAAAGATCTGGAGATCGGGCTTGGGAGGTTTATCTTCTCATGCTAACTTATTCCATGTCTGCCATGTGCCCTAAATTAGTTAATCCTTACACTGTATCTTGAGGTACAGTCTGCTAAAACAAGAGTTGATAGTCCTCCGCCTTCCACTCTGCTATAGTTTGGATCTGAATTGATCTTTAAGGCCCAGGCATTCTCAGCTCATTGTTTCTGGAAGGTGGTGGAAATGTTAAGAGATGGGGCCTGAAAGGGCCCTTTAGGTCATTGCAGCTGTGCCCTCAAATGGGGAAATGGTCTCCTCCTCTCTTACTCTTTCTTTTCCTTATGTCCCAGCCACGAAAGGAGAGTCTTGGTCCATCACATGTTCCTGCGATGATGTGCCACCACAGTTCCAAAGTAAGCAGAATCTCTCAAAAACTGAGCCAAAAGAAACCATTTCTCCATATAAATTGATTTATTTCTAGTATTTGTGACAGTAACAAAAACCTCATGTGCCATTTCATAGAATTTGAGGAGCAGATGAGATAGTGTGTGTCTATAACAATTTTCAAAACTATGTTATCATCAGGGATACAAAATACATCTCAGTTCTGGTGTCCGTTCATGATGAGTTAGTCTGGAGCAGAGTCCTGACATGGATCTACGACTGTTTTGTTCTCAGGGAGGAAGGGTGCGGCAGCTCTGAGTGATGCCTGACTTAGAAGGGCAAGAGGATGAGAGGCCCAGGTTCCACACATTTACTCTTTGTTCCAAACAAATGCCAGATATCATTAGGGGTCAAAATCAATAATTTTCAAATAGGTTCCTTGAGCTCTTAACCATGGAACTTGTGGAAAATGGGATTTGCTATTTTATTCTCCTTCCTCTGCACTATTTAAATTTATTTCGCTAGTCATATTACTTTTATACTAGAAACTAATTATAAAACTTCATAATAGATCCTGTCTTGCATTTAATACAACTACCAACATTCTGGCCCTATGTTTTGGAAGTCATTAAAAGAGAAAATCACGAAAGACAGATAAGAAAGAGAACAAAGAAATGTTTCACATATAATTCAATTACTATATAGCATTATTGTGCCATTTATGAAATTCATAAATAATTTAAAAATGACATCAAATGAAAGTATTACATGCACTTCCTTTTAAATGCAGGAAATTTATATACAAAATGAGAGGTCGAAGGTCTCTTCCTTCTTACCTCACAATAGCCATGGCTCTCATGTTGATGACTGCATCATTACATAACTTTCAATGCATTGAGACAGATTTTAATTCATTTAATAATTAGGTCAATAAAAATCATTATAGCTAAGAGTGTTATTAAAAGTCCATAATGTTACCTTAATAGGGAAAAACTAATATAGTTCAGTTGGAATTTTTCCATGAAATTAATGTTATATAATTTTTTCTGTGTGTCTTAAATAGCTTAAATAGACACTTTTATTAACAGAACTAATCATAGAATTAAAACAGATGAAAACTATTACATTTGCTATGATGAAGTACCCATGTTCACCAGATTTTTATCAGCCCTGCTCTTGTGAAGAATCTGAACATTCACTACCACAGGAAAGTATATTAAATTTGCTGGAATCATTCCTCATGGTCCCAAGACCTGCCAATTGATTTCTGGTGACTTCTCCTTGAACACTATGGCTCTGTTTCTCAGCTGCTCTACGGGGAACATTCCAGAATCTCAGCCCCCTACATCAAGTGTTTCTCTCAAGTGTGCTTTTGATTATGAGTGTGAAATGCCCATTTTACAATACACAAGACATTCGACACCACTCAGAAAAAGCCAAAAAACAGAAGAGACTATGTTTGTACTTTCCAAAAATGTTTCACGACTTCTCTCTCATCAGCTTAATCGCTCAAGGTAGAGAGTAAGATGAACTAATGGTCAGTACTGTGTGATTGGTACAAATTCTGAATAGAAGGCCTTGATAGCAGCGGGGAAGAAGACTGACCTAAGGTCTCATTCAGATCACATGAATTCTATGACTTTGAGTGACTCAAATGCACAAGTCACTGGGTACAGTAGCATCACTGCTGCTTGGGCACTGGCAACTCTTTGCATAATCCGATACTGCAGAATTCACAAGGATAATCACAGTGACTCAGACCAGAGTCCCAGGTGTACTTCACAGTGAGCAGAACACCGGTGAATGTCCACAAAGAGGAGGCAGCTGGAACATGTGCGAAACAGCATGGGCTTTTGGCTGGGAAAGACTGCATTTGAACTCAGTTCTTTGTCTCCAACAGAGTGAACACAGGCTAGATAGGTCATTTTCCTACTGTCCAGGCTCAGCGTCTGGAAAATGGGGACTGATGGATTGGTGGCCACTGATGGATTGGAGGTTTCAAAGAGATTCCAGATGCAGACACCTACAGGCTGCTCTTTAGAGGAAAGAGATGCCTCCCAGGAGGAGGCATCTGGGCAGACACAAGGCTATTTCCCAAGACACATCACATATGGGAGGGTGTCCTCCGAAATCTCCAGTGTTTATCCTGCTGTGCTGTCATGAAAGCTCTGAGCAGAATGACCACGGACTGGGAAATGCAGAAATGTGGGCAAGGGCCTCGGAAAATGTAGGATGACTACAGTTGCTAATAATGTACTTTATATTCAAAAATTGTTGAGAGCAGATTTTTAAATGTTCTCACCACAAAAGATAAGAATGTAAAGTGATAAATATATTAATTAGATTGATTTAACCATCCCATAATGAATACATATAGTAAAACATCATATTGTACCCCATAAATGCATGCAAGGGGAAAATATTTCAAAAATATTAACCAAATTTAAACCACTACTCTTCTAATGTAATACATGTCAAATGATTTTAAAACTAAATATGCCCTATCAGTAAAGGATATAAGAAGAAAGAGAAAGCAAGCAAGAAAGAAAGAACAAAAGAAAGAACAAAAGAAAGAAAGAAAGAAAGAAAGAAAGAAAGAAAGAAAGAAAGAAAGAAAAAAAGAAAGAAAAGGAAAGAAGGCAGGGAAGGAGGGAGATGGAGAGACATAGAGAGGAAGGAAAGGCAGGTGGGAAGGTCAGCTTGACAGTGGCCTCCCATGCTGAATCTAAAGAAGCCAGGAAAAAGATTCTGCTCTCCACCTACTATTCTATTGTCTTCCCTCTGAAGTTTCCTAGGGGAATTGGCAATACTAGGAAATCCATTTAAACACTTTTATGCAAGCTGTGTCAGAAATGCCATTCTGTAGTAAAATGAACTTCCTTTGGCAGTTCTCATGGGCTGATGGGGGCACGCGTGTCGTGAATCAGCACTTGGGGTGGTAAAGGAGGTCCTAGAAATGGGGGCACTGAAGGAAGAATGGGCTTCATGTGAGTGCCCTGACTTTGAATCGAGATCTGGTGCCTGAGAGAGGGCTCAGTCAGTCATACTGGGCAAGATTTAAAAGCCATGACAAATGGAGGAAAAAAAACTTTAAGGGGAAAAATACTGATAACAGAATATCATTATATAACTTGTCAAGGACTCTAATGTCCAAAGTACTCATAGATGGGGACAATCTGCGGAACTTTTGCTCACAGGAGGTTGAGAATAAAAGGAAGGGGAAAATGGGAAGGAGCAGTGCATTTGGGGGGAGGGGCGTGGCGCTGAAGATTGAAGCCAAGGCTTTAACACTGAGCTAGATTTGTCATTGTTTTTTTATTTTTTATTTTGAGACAGGGTCTTGCTAAATTTCTTAGGCAGAGCTCAAGCTTTTGTTCATTCTGCCTCAGCTTCTTAGAGTGCTAGAATTACAGGTGTGAGCCACCATGCCTTGATAATCCTGTAAAGAAATCTGAGCTGAATATGGTGCCATGCCTGTAATCTCAGCACTGCACTGAGGCAAGAGGACTGGACCTGGGGGCCAGCCTAGGCTACAAAGTGGGTTCAAGACTGACCCAGTTTAAGCAGCAAAACCCTGTCTCCAAGGAAGGAAAAAAAGCAGAGAGAGAGAGAGAGAAAGAGAGAGAGAGAGAGAATGTGAGAAAGAAGAGAAAAACAGGAAAAGGAGAAATAAGGAAACAAGAAAAGAAAGGAGGGAAAGAGAATGGAAAGGAAGAGAAGGAAAGGAAAGGAAAAGGAGGGGAAGGAATGAGAAATCCTGATAGCTCATATTTCCTATAAAAGAAAATCCTGCAATCACCCAATAAACTTTATTTTGAAGGGGGATGTTGGAGAGAAGCCACTCTTTCTGCAACTTATTTCATCTAGTTGCTGACATTATTGGCCATTACCTTGGGGTTCACTGTTCCTGTGGCAAGTACTTACTTTTTGTTAAAATTACCAAATATTCTCTGAAACAGAGAATCTTATCAGAAAATTGATCTCTAATACATAAAGGCATCTTGCAAGAAAAAAATCCCTTTGAGGGAATTTCTTTTTTAATGGTTCACTGCGGGGCTTTCACAATCTCATGGAAATTTGAAGATTGCTCAGATATTGTTTCTGTGGGAAGAGGGAAAAAGGGCCAAAGAGGGACATAATACTTGTGACTTTAGAGGCATCTATCATTTTCTAGTGCATTCAATAAGAGGAGCAGAAGTTAATAATGAGGAAGTGAAAACCATTCTGGAATATATAATTAACTATACAAAAACAGTCTTGCAATGCATTCTTTCCTGTTACTCTGACAATTGCCAAGAAGTGTAACTGTGCTCACTCAGTATTATTTAAATTAAATTATCAAATGCAAATGCTAAATATGAACCTCTCAGCAAAGCACTGGATTATAATGCCATATCCGCTACTCAGACTAAAAGCTGATTACTGGTTCTGCAGCTATAAACATGTCAGACAATAATTTAATTGCTTTGCAGGTAGTGGAATATGCAGCATCCTTGTTCTCTTTCTGGAACTCAACATGCCTCTTTAATACAGCATAACGATCATAAACACACACACAGTCTTCACTAGACACGTGCTTTATGATAGAAAGAAGCTATAGCAAAATTTTACAAAGCCCAAGGAACTTGGCAGGGCCAGATTTTTCAATCACTATTGAAACGGGCTTCTCACCAAGTGACCCAGGCTTTTACCTGGGTCAGAGAGTTAAATGATGCATTTCTGAAATGGATTTAAAACTACAATTAATTTCAGGTGCAGAGGACCACCTTCTATTAGCCAATGTACTTCCTGTCCTCGGATGCTATGCTAACTGGACAACCAAATGTGCACCCTTTCCTGGGGCCACTGGTCTAGGCCAGGTATCACACTTGATACTTTGGGGTCAGTGGGCATACTGCCCAGGAAAGGAAGGAAGGTGGAGAATGTAAACAGAAGGATCTAGTAAGTATTTCCTGATCTTCCAGTTGCTGAGTGTCCAAGCAAAGCATGAAAGGGAGGAGAAGAGGGTAGTTCCAAAGATGAGGGGGCCTCTTCTGTCCTTGGAGATCTTCATATATCATGTCCTGAAATTCCCAGGATTCTGGTTATCTCTCCTTCCCCAGTTCAGCACAAAGAGATGTAAAATGTTTCTCTGCAAACTGGGGAGGGAAATGGGACCTTGCAATCTAGGTTCCTATTTGAACAGCAGATTTTTACTAACTGCTATGCAGAAAACCCTTTCTAGAGAGTTCTAGAATTACTATACCTTCTCATTTATGATTCATTGCTATCTCCCATGATCCCACATTGACTGAACACTGTGTGAGGCCCTGTGTATATGCATGCTCTATATGCAATATCTTATTTAGTCTTATTTAACATTATGTACACATAACCACAGCCTTACAACCAAGCACTCATCTTTTTATCTAAAATGCACATAAAACCTGATATGAGGTTCACATTCCTTATTGACATGGCTTTATATGTACATTCACAACATATCCTGTTCCCTTGAAGACATCTTGCAGAGTGACAGTCTCATCAGTCTGTGTCTGTGGTTCGTTTGGTGAACAGGAAACTGCAGATCCCTAAGAAGATCTCAAGGATCCCCTCAAATTCAAAACAGGCCTGTTGTTGAGAGATCAAGATGGAAGAGATTTAGTGGACCACACACTATTCGCATTGTAGCATTTCAGAGTCAAAAGTTGTTATCCTCTTATTCTCCCTGAGTGGGTTTTTCCATGAAAACAAAGACACAGCCACCTTTGTTAATTTGAGGTCCTCTTAATTGACTCTGTCTTCCAGGAATGGGAGAGGGAGGTGACTCCTGGTGTTACCCATCCTAGAAAGGCCAGAGGGAATTGTCACGGCCCGTTGCTCTGGAGTTACACAAAGTCTTCCAGAAAGGGACTCTCTCCAGACTCCTGCTCACTTGCTATTGGAGAGATGTGATTGCCTGCTGCAGACTAGAGGACATAGGGAACAGATATGACACTCTTCTGTAGGCTTGTTTCCAAACTTGTGTCTGTCTACCATGAGAGGCAGGGCCCTTTTCCATCTAGCTTGAACAGGAGAAGTCTGCCAGGAGCATGAAATCAAAGACTCAGCATTCCCTTGTGGGGTTTCCCGCTCTGTGGGAATCTACTGTTTCAGAGCCGCGACAAGAGAGGTGAAGAGCAGTCAAGCACCAGACCAGGTATATGGGTGATGACTGTCCCCAAAGTTTCTACTTCCAGTAGGAATATAAAAGGCACTCTAAAGCAGTCTACTTGTTACAAATGAGGGTGAGAGGGTTCAGAACACAATACCCCAAAATATGGCACCCTAGCGTACTTTTAATAAAAAGTGGCAAGAGTAGAAAGGTCTCTGACCTTCTCCCAGCTCACCGCCTCATTTGAAAATTGCTGTCCGTTATTTTTGGAGAACAGAAACATTCCTATCACTGAAGGCAAAGGGCCACAGAGAAGAACGTGAACACACAGGCCTCGGAGAGTTTCCCCTGGATTCGTTTTCTGCTCCTTTTCTACACAGTGCAATGTATAAATCCCCTAGGATCCTTGTTCATGGGGGATAAAAAGAGTGATGCTTTTCCAGAATGCCAGACAAGGACCAAAGCTTAGAGAGGGCTGCAGTTTTCCCAATTGCTTATGCTCCTTGCTACATAACATAGCTAATGCCTTGGTTCTTATAATATTCATTTTCATGTAGATGATCCCTCAGGATCCTTAAAATTCATCAAACAGTAGAAAGAAAGGAAGTGGTCTTTACAGAGTACCACACAACGTACCATGTTTAGTACATAGACTCATTTAAACCTCACTTAACCTTCATTTTTCAAATAAGGTAACTGAAGCACAGAGAAGATATAGCTATAGCCACACAATTGGCAAGTGGAGGGAATTTAAGCCAATTCTTGATCTTCCAAGTTCTGTGTGTTTCCTGTGCTCTTTTCTACTTCTCTAGCCAGGCTGGCAATGGCTCCCTTAAGCATCTTAAGCTAGCACTTTCAGGTTGGCAGTGGCATTTCAAGCCAATGTGACTTTTGTCTATTTGCCTTACCCATTATCCATAGTGACTACTGCTCTTCAATGAGTCATTATAATGTGCGGGGATAGAATACCTCAGAGACACGCGAGTGTCACCCTAGTGACTTGTTCTAAATCGTCATGGGAGAAACAACAGCAGTAAGAACAACAGAAAATCAAATGTGAACCACTAGGACACAAGTACATTTCTCACCTCAAGACAGAGAACAAAACTCCTTAGAAAGCCTTTGGAAAGGGTAAAGAGAGGCTCACAACAGACTGTTTTCCAGTGACTGTCTCATCTTAGTTCAAGACAATTTAAGACACAGCAGAAGCATAAGGAGCCATTGATGCAGGTGTGGGGAGGGGGAAGGGAGCCCTCACTGCAGGACATCATGAAGTCCTAACTATCATCCAAAATTTGAGTATGAGACTTGCTTGATACAGATTTCTGTGTCATACAAAACAGGAAAAATGTGAGAAGTTAGATAATGTAATGAAGACAAAATATTACATTTTAGAATGCTGTGCTACATCTAATCGGATAGGATTTAATCAGTGAAATCCTTCATCTGGCCTGCTAGATCCAAGTCACCCATTTGGAGTGGGGTAGGGGTAGATCTATTTTAATTCTGGTGAGAAAGATGTAATGCCTCAATTAACTCCCGGCCAGTAGGATTTCCTGGTGGAGCAGGGATGCTAAGTAGCAGAACACACCTGGGTGCCTTCAGCAGGAATAAGGTCCAGAGCAAGGCACAGGATATAGTGTTTGAGAGTTAGAACATACCCAGTCTTTCATTTCACAGCCGAAGAAATGAAGACTCAGAGAGGCTGGGAAGCTTATTTAAAGATGTACAGTGACTTAAGGTCAGGACCAGAGCCTGCTGAGTCCTGAATAATAAAAGAACATTAAAAACATAGCTCCATAGAAGAGGAATTAAGACTTTGGTTTGGTGTTAGGGTCAGGTACAGATCTAGTAGGCAAATCAGAAAGAAGCATATTATTAGTAGTAGTAGTAATTTTGTGTGATACTGGGTTCATACTTAGAAGTCCTCTACCACTCAGCTATATCCTTAGGTCTCCTTATTTTTACTTTGATTCAGGACCTAAGCTGTCCACCTGACTTCAAACATATAGTCCTCCTGCCTCAGCATCCTATGCAGCTGGGCTTCACACATATCTCATTGTTATTAAGGTGAAACACACATGAAATTTACCATTGAGCTATTTTAAAGTACAGAACTCAGTGGCATTTAGTAATTCCCAGAGTTGTACAGCTATTAACACTGTCGAGTTCTAGAACTCCTTCAGCATTCTTTAAGAAAACTCCACACCCATTATTCAGTAACCAGCCTTTATCCCACCGTCCACATTTTATAACATAACTAGAAACACAGGTGAACAACATGCTTTGAAGGAGTCTCAGTAGCAGGTCCAGCATACTTGAGTTCAGGCAGGGATAGAAGTCTTTTCAGTGTGAATATTGTACAAAGGGCTTTGGTGCAAGAAGGCTGGAAGTGATGGCTCTTTGGGGCTCCCCTGCTTGGAGCTGGTGGCCCACCCACAAGCCTTGGGGTGGTCTCCTCCTACCATCTCAAGTCTGCTGGTGGCACCATGTTCTACTCTATGGTAAAGCTCATGTCCTACAAACTCAGCTCCTCCTGGGCTCCTGCCTCACTTTCTCCTTCCTGTTCTGCTGACACTCGTTCCCTGGTTTGCCTATACGCCACCCATCTTCTCACTAGAGCATGTTTGACCTGGACACACAGCTTTCTGCTGAGTTGATGTGGAGTTTCAGTTGACTTTTAGCACAGCCAGGCATGTATTAAGAACCGGGATAAGCAAAGATCGCCTGAGCTTTAACTACATTGATTTGGCCCAATAAACTCAAGGATAATCTATAAAACCTGACAGTTGAAGGCAATAAAATTAGCTGCAAAGGGACTGCAAGGTGGAAATAATGTTTTTTGGTGTTCTATGTACAATTTACACTCACATGCAGAAACCACTAAATAAGACACAATGCGAAATTTCCAATAGCTCTGAGGAGTGGCATTGTGTTCAAGAAACTAGATTTTAAAAAGCAGAAAAGAAACTAAAGGAGGTAGTGAAAGTATCATTCTCCAGATGATGATAATGGAATTCATCCTATGACTGAAAATCACATTAGCACAAGGTCAGAGCTGCTTTGTGTCATGGCTGAAAATTATTTTTATTTTGTTGTAGTTGTTTTAGTTTTTTTCAGACAAGTCCCATTATGCATGCCAGGCTGGCCTTGAACTCACCACATAGCACAAACCGAACTTGAACTCAGAGCGATCTTCATGCCTCAGCCTCTGGAATGCTGGGACACTAGGCGTGCACCAACATGCCTGGCTATTCTGTTTGTCTGCTTCTTTTTTGTTATTATTTTATTTTGTTTTTAAAAAATAGTTAAGGGCTTTATATTAGATTGGAGAGTGTCATCAAAAAATTCACATCCATCTGGAATCTCAGAATGTGAAACTATTCGGAAATAGGACCTGAGGAGATATAACAAGCAAGATGGGGTTATGCTGGGGTAGAGTATTTCCTGGTCCAATGACTGGCTTTGTTATAGGCAGAGAGAGATTTGGGCACGCATAAGTATCCACAGAAAAGTGTCATGTGGAGATGGAGGCAGGAAGTGGAGTTATGTACCAGGGATGCGGAGGACTGCCCCCAGCCACCAGACCAGAAAAAAAAAAAAAAAAAAAAAAAAAAAAAGGAAGGTCCTTCCACAGAGCTGTGTAGGAGCCTTCCCTAAACTGAAGAGCATTTTAGAACACTTAAGCATGCTGACACCTTGATGTCAGGTTGCTGGCATCCAGAACTGGGAAAGAATATATTTCTAGCAGTTTAGGTCACTCAGAAAACTAATTTAGACCACATTTTGATTTCTGCTTCTTTTATACAATATATAAATCTATTTTAAAAATGGAAAAATATTCTAGTTCCTAAAACTAGATCTTGTTATATTTGTGTCCAAATTCCAAACACAGGTTTAGAAAAAAGTGGGATCTGACTCTACTCACTATAGGACTTTCTTTCTCATGGCCAGGTCTCTTGTGTTTGTCTGGCTCGTTTCCAGGAGGAGGGCAGGACTGACCTGCAGGCCCCTTCGTCTGCAGCTTCTCTCTCCATCTTTAAAGATCCCTTTTCTGAAGCTGCCAAGCAAAGCCTCCTTTTACAGTGTTCATTCTTCCTTGTTCTACTTTCCCAGAGCAAGACCTGGCCTTGCAGGCCATCACATGCTGGTGAGCTGTGATCCCTCCATGTTGATTATAATTTTATCACATTATATGGGATCCCTCTGGTGGTTACTAGGGGGTACATCAGCACTGAGAGATTAGAGCCAAACCAAAGAATTTTCAAAACTGGACCACTTAAGAGTTTACAAGTAAGCACCCAGATGCTGGGTTGCTCCTAGGGTCTCTTCTGGGCTTGAGGGGCAGCTCCTTAGGTGAGGAGGGGGAAGGTGGCGTGTGAAATGCTTCACCAGTAATCCCAGCAAGCTGTCATCATCTGTATTAGTGGAGATACCAGATGAGGAGCTGGCTTGCCCTGAAAAAACAGCTTGGAGC